CCAAAAAAAAAGACATCCGGAAACACATTTCCAATCAGAAAAAAAAACCTTTATAAAACTGGTGGCGGACGAGTTGTGCCTTCGGTTCCAAGGGGCAATGCAGATAAAATATTTTTATCTATTGTAAATAATAAGACCTTGGATGGCGTCAATCAATCACTTGCTGCTTTTGATGGTGATTGGGTACAGCCAAATGAAACTCCGCCATCTCTCAATTTCCCAATTAGTCAGAAAGGGCGTTTGTGAAATGTTGAAATTCAAAATTCATGATGTACGTAGGTAGTTATTTTTTGAAAATAGGACATTATGATTACAGATTTATATACGTATGTTGTATATTTGACTAACTAGCGACTGAAGTGAGGTTGGAAGAAGGACTCGAGAACGAGTCCTTAAATTTAAGATTTTCAAAGACGAACTACTTAAGATCGTGTCATCGGTTGGTGCAATCCATTTTTGAAGTTAGGCTCGAACTTAATGCTAAGCATAACCTTAAGTCTTCCTTAAATGTTTGGTGCAAGTGGGCATTAATAACTGAATGCTAGATTCTGCTTCTTTTATAGTTGAATTATATGCTGATACTTGCAGAAAATACGCTATCTTTTATTTTAATAGTATAAATGACCATATAATTGTATGGATAACTATATTTTGTATTATACAGGATAGAGTAAAATGAGTAGTTTTACCGAGCAGCATTATTGCATTACGAAAAATTAGCAACCAACTTTTATTTTAAAAATGAATTTAAGACCCTCACAAGCTTTGTTAATTATATAAATTTATTAACAAAATATATGGTTTTTGCTCTGTCGTCGGACTGGATAATCGTTTATCAATAATCACATTTCACAATCACAAGCTATCGGTTTAGATTTTTATTATTCTACAGTTTTTTCAATGTAACAGATATACGTTCATAATAACAATGGATTTAAAATTTTAGCTAGTTAAAATGACTTTTTAACGCAACAACTTTCGATTGTAATATACATTTAATCTCCATTTACTAATTACTAACGCTTTAATATTAATCGGCTGATAAATACAGTATAACAATAATCCGAAATGTTTAACTATGATTTCACTGATTTTCGCACGGCAAGCACTTATTAACCGTGACTCATCAGATAAGTTTCTCCTAGAACATTACCATTACAAACAATACTATGGGACGATGTTAAACATATTTTACAAAACACCCAATTAAAGCCTCTTAATAACAAAAATACTTTCTTATATCTACTATCGGGAATGCAATTTAGTCTAGCTTTGCCCTGTAAGGAAATTGTGTAAAACATAATCCCGAAATTTTGGCACACCAGCCTTTGTCGTGATGAGTAAAACATATCATCAAGAAAAAGGCTGATTTTTAGCAAACATTTCGGGCGTGCACATAATAAAAATAACTAGCAAAGGTGTAATGCTTTCGTGAGGGGCCCTCATCTTAAATAACTGTATCGTTGGCATCAAAATTGATATAGCAATCAAATGTGAACTATTAATGGGACTCGATTATCGCAAAATTTAAATCTAAAAGCAGTGACAAACAACAGTTTTCATCTCACTCAAAGATTTGCTGCCCTAAACAGTACAATTGCTAGTATCTACAGCTTGCCATCTTTCAGTAGGCGAAATATCTGTAATGTAATGCGAAACCTGGATAAAATGCCATATTTTTGGAAAATTGATTTCTAACAAGCATAGCATGCTTACAGATCACTAAATTTACTGTAGGTTCGGAGATAGGCTTATAACTCAATTATTTCTTGTTGAATTAACTTTGATTTGAAATTTATTTAACCAGAGCATGTTATTTAATAAATTTTTAAAATCTAACAAATTATTTGCATTATATACATACATTAGAATAATTATTTTAGCTATATTTCATTATAAATGTTGCGTGTGGGTTATTTTCGAGTAAGTTTAAACTGTGTCGTTAGCAGAGAGTTTGCCGAATGGCATAACTGTAGAAGCCGGTTTCTTTTCGATTAATTCTGTCAAAGCAACTGCATAAATCCGCGTTTGACACTGGAAACGTTAAGGTGCGCCCAGACTTCACAAGCGGACCCTGGCTGAGCCTGACCCGCGGCAAATTATTTTGAAGTTTTGTTAAAACACCGACAGGAAATCGATCGTAAGTAACGCAACATCGTCGCGTAACATTAGTTGTTGCCTAACTAAGATAAAGGCGCGTACATACGTGCAACAGCATACAGAAGCGTAATACTGCGGCGTATCAGGTCTGGATGACAGTCCGCAACAGCGTAACAGTGTAACAGCGTATCATCGCAGCGCCTCATGAGTTGTCGGTCTTTTGCTGTCGCATCAAAGAAATGTACGGGCGTATGTTGCTTCAGATCGTTGAAAGTCTGGACTTGAATGTGAACGCGTGAAATAAAATAAAAACTCTCACAGCGAAATGGTCCTCGTGACGTCAGAGCAGTCGGGTCTTGACTTGCGGCGATGATTGTCCTGAGCAGCGGCAACATAATTTTGATGTTTTGTTAAAGTCCGACAGACTATCGATTTTCTGTTGGTGTTCTAATAAAATAGCAAAGGAATTTGCCGCGGATCAGGCTTGGCTCGAACTCGGCTCCTTAGGTCTGGACGCAGCATAACAGTACGAGGTTCAGTTCGTATGTTCATTAGTTAATTACTCATATTTTGCTTTGTTGGAGTTTTGGTTTTATTACCTGCTTACTACCATTAACTGTTATTCGAAGTCTTAATTATTCTCTTCAGTTTGATGGAAATTCGAAATGAGTCTACGCTAAGTGCAAATCGTGCAGTAACATGCTTTGCTTTCTATTTCAATGGATGATATGAACATGAGTGGGGGTAAGATAAGCAACGTGGTAGTTTGAAACCTATGTACCTACATGTAACAAGAATTGTAATACGGCTTAACATTTACATAATTATATGTGGGTATTACACATAGGTACCTACGTACTGATACAGATTTTTTACAACAAATTAAATATATATTACATTATCTTAAGGCAGCTTTAAGAATATAAGATGATCCGATAGATCTTAAACCAAAAACTTTACAACTATTTTCAGTCTCTTTACGTGCATTAAATATTGGGTGATTTGCATAGATGGCTGATCAGACAAAAACAAAACTTCCAGAGTAACTTAGAGTTAGAAACTGAGTCACACTGTGTTTTCATTTAATAACAGCATTTTTCGCTTTATTTTATTAAGTGTTCAAAAAATTATATATTTTTTCATAAAAAATGTTAAATTTTCCTTGTTATTAATGTTCTAGTAGTGAAGAGCTTTTGAAAAGTCATACAAAGCCGACTTTTTACTGAAACGGAATTAGTTAAATTTAAGCCGTAACCACTTCCCTAGTTTTTCTATGTGAATCTCTGCGAAATCGAGTAATTCATATTTAACTTCAGTCCCTCTTCGAACACATTTTAAGGCACAATCTATGCCAATCGCTCCAAATGTAGAATTATATTAGTTTTTTTTATTAATGCGGTTACCAAGCTCGTGTTTGGTACCTTGGACTACCAAGCAAGTTTCACGCTCAAGTTTCAATGTTTTTAGAAGTATCACTAATTGCCTTAAACACAGATGCAAAGCTTCAATCAATTTGATGATAAATAATTTAATGAAATACCACACATTATAATCGATTGTACTTTTGTACATTTTTAACATTGCTTAAAACCTTATTCGTTACGTATTGTTAATAAGACACTTCGTGAGACACCTTCAGTTTGTCTCCAGTTTAGAGGAAATATTGCTGAAAATGATATGGGTTGTCAAAAAAGTTAAGAATTAATTTTCATGCTTTTCTCCAAACTAGGCTTGGGTAACACTATGTTGTGGGACACTTTTGTGTTGATACCGTTCTGTGTGTCAATGTGTAATAACACCTTGCGTCTCACTGAGCAACACCACCATGAATAACACTTAACATTTAACCTCATTCAAGATGGCAGACTTTGGATTGCAAGTTCGTGAAAGCAGGGATTATGTAAGGTTATGTAATGTTAGGTTATGCAATTATACGCGCGTGTAACTATGGAATTTCGAAGCCACAGARAGARTCCCCCAAATTTTATCTTATTTTAAAATCCTCATTATTACATATTATAATGTACAAACATTAGCGTTTTAAAAAAATAATCGTATGCTCTACCAAAATATTGAATTTAATAAAAAATGTAATATCAATATGTTAATACTACTAAAAATCCCCAAGGGAAAATAGTGATTTCAAAATAAAATTATTATTTAAATTGAAATGATGAATTGACATTGTTCGGTTTAATTGGATTGGAAAATTTTAAATATTTATCCCAGCTCGTAAAGGTGTGTTATATTACAACTACTGGAAATATATATAATATAAATATATATCACTCATAACATTAGCGTATATTAAAAATATCATGGACTGACACGAAATAACCACAAATAGAAATTATGTAATTTCAACGATTTCCGACTTTTAGATCGTCTAAATGTTGGGATCTTTTCTTCGAAAAATCGGTGGTGAGACAACTAAGCTTTACAAGAAGAAAATATGTTGCGGCTACATTTATTCATTAAAACGACGCAGCCGGCGTGTGTCATCAGTCAGTGTCAAGTAACACAAAAAAGAGGTTGCACGCTGAAGCGCTTAAAAGCAAGGCGCATGACGCATGACTATACGACACCAATACACATCACGTAGCATAGAGTCCTCTGTGATCTTCCTACATATTTATCGTATAATGACTTTACTGTATCATAAATTGCGCTGGCACGTTGTTCTCTCGCGACAAGCCGTATCGGTATCATTGCGCCAACATCTGATAATTCACTTTGTTACCCATGCCTACTCCAAAGGTAATCCGATATTCAACACGTATATATTTTGATGCATTTAGAGAAATATATTTTAAAACGTTTTGTTAGATACAGTCCGCGACACTTAATTACTCTCACCAACAGATTTCTTTCCAAAATTATCTTCTCTTTCATTTCTTCTCACCAACAGAATGGACATTGCACCAAGAAAATGTGCCAACTATCACCGCTGAAATAATCCAAAACTTCTATCGTTCTGCTGACTCCGAGTAATATTTCAGTTCCGGACTGGCCTGCTATTTCCCCAGACTAAATATTATAGAAAAGTGATTCGCTTGGTTAGTCAAACGCCTTCATACTGCAGGAAGAAGTTTAAATGGAGAATAATAATAATAGAGAGCAACCTGGGAGGAAGTTGCAGTGAATCAAATATAAATTTACTCATCATTGTCCCATCTAATGTTAACAGTCATTGAGAAGCAGAGAGGAAAAACCAGATATTGAAATAAGTATTAGGTTTAAATCTTGTGTTCTAGGTTAATTCTAAAATATGAGAGTAATCAAGTGTCCCATTAAAAATTACAATATTTGCATTAGGTACAAAAAAAATCGATTGTATAATACGAAAATGTTAAGCAAAATATTAAGTAAATATTGTTAAAATCTTTAATCTAGTCTTTGATGTAGCTTACTAATCAATAAACAGTTATAGCATTAATAAAAATTAATCAAAATCATTAGGTGAGAGTAATCAAGTGTCGCACACTGTATCTCTGACAATAAAAATTAATAAAAACAGAAAGCTCTTAGCTTATGAATGAATTAAATTAATTTAAAAATCGGATGTGGGGTTTTCAAAAAGTTGAAAGTTGAAAAGTTTCAGTTGTTATTTTTGCTTGCATTTCCTCTAACAGTAAATTATTTTATACTCTATTTATAAAAAGGTGCTCGATTCGAAAGCGATTAACTTCAAGAGAAACGTCGCAAAGATCATATTTGTATGAATGACGAATATTAGCTCAGGTTATAGGGTGTATTCTGTAAATTTCGACAAGACTTATGCGGATACCCTGTATAACGATCACAGCGCATTTAAAAGAAAAAACGATAACTATTCATCAAAACAGCATCATGCATTTTCTTGGTGCTGTTGAGTTTTTGATATTGGCTCAACGATTAAATCAGTACTTCACTCCGAAGGATTAAATTTAAACCTAATAACCTACCGCGAAGTTAATTTCTATCGAACCAACTATAAGTAATATACTTCTAATATGAAAGGACATCTAAAACCAAAAGTATCTCACTGAATTATCGATCGGGCATTATACTGCCACATGCATTGAGCAAAATACATTAAATTTGAACTTAAACACTGATAAATATGTGTTTTCTTACTTGAGTAAGGAACATCAATGATATGAACCTTTATTGTTTTACGTTGATAAGTGATATGCTACAGTGTTAACATTTCTAAGAACGGACTGCTGAATTGCATGTTGTACTTTTTTGGCTGAAGAAACTACGTTACTGTTTGTTCCTTAATTGCCAGTTAGTGCAACGTTTTGTCAATGTTCTTTGTTATTCAACCGAATGTAAAATGTCGAATTATCTATCACTAGATGATTCGATAAAATTTAAAGAATTAAGCATGCCCTCTATCTTTATGGCAATCTTTTTCTCTGAACGTTTTCTGTTTAAATTCCATTTGTTGGTCAATGTACCATTTTGGTTACTTTGATCGCGTTCAGACGTTCGGATCAAGAAATTAACCAAGTCGATCCTGGTTGTGGGATCCAACCTACTCTATAAGGTTGCAGTACACAATACCTGTTCTGTAAGGTATGGATATAATGTAATGAAGGATCAACAGAAGCAACACTTCGTCTAACTAATCATGCAGCAGAGCAGGCGCAGTACTACAGCGGTCACTACTGATGCGATTGTATGGAATAAGCCCGTTGGGGACACAGCCGTGTTGCACATGTCCTCCTCACAAAAGCACATGTGACCATTCCCGTTACTTTCATTCATGCACACGTGGTCTACCATGAAGAGGCTGATTTGGAGTTGTGACGTACAAGTTCGACGGACGACTTCATAAGCTGAAAAGAGGATAACTTATTACTGGGGAAGACTAATAGAGAAGTCGTAGAAACTTTGTTGGAAAGTGAAACATGGAATGTTGGAAAAACAAACACAATTTCTGATGTAAATGCGAAAAGTGCAATAGATTGCATAATCAAATATGTAGATAAACAAGGTATATCCATGAAGAAATTACAACTATCCCATCCCAAATAGAGACGCCAGATCACGTGATTAGCACGTCATATGGAATGTAATGTAATAAAACATGTCAGAGGCAAAGAAAATCATCTATGATTATTAACGGTTGTATAATTACACTGATTATTATGTTATTACCCTACATAAATCTGCTTAGTTGATATACAGGGTGGTTTTTGTTATCTTRAAACGCTTAATTATTTCGGAAACGAGTGATGTGAGGAAAMAATGTTTCAAATAAGAAGTTAATATTTGGGAGGGGGAAGTTTATTCGTGTAAGAAAAACAACGCCTACTTCGACCTTGTARGCTAGGCAGGGGTCAACTGAGAATTTCAAATGGTAACCACAACATTTTATTGGAGATTCAAATAGTACGTCAAAAACTGGGAATAATTTATCTAAAAAATGTTCTTCAATTTTGACAGGTGGCGCTGTAATCCATCWATTATCAATTTTTTTGCTTTAGATYTGCTAAMCTATTATTTTATTGAAACGCTTAAAATTTTAGTGTGGYCAATAGCATCTATTAATGTCAGAGGAATATTCAGTCCGAAAATTGTTTGATGATGAAAATCAAATATGTACCTCCAWATSWACMAAATMWAYATTTGATTATTGAAAGTATATCGGCCGGCTTCTCCGCATACAAAAATAAYTTCAATTTTTTCTTGCACAGTTGATGCGCCCATATCAAAAATTATAGTAGCTTATTTAAATCAAATTCAAATAGTGGTTCTAACTCAGAACGAAATTAATAAATGTCAAAGTCAACAATTTGAAATTTCTACGCTTTTATCAGCGTTCCTACATTGTCCATTCCACATATATTTTGAAATGTCACGTGTTGGCAATGCGAATTTTCAAACTATCAATGCTATACTTTTAATAAACAAATAGATGTTTTGTTGATTTGGAGGTACATATTTAAATTTCATCATCAAACAATTTTCGGACCGAATATCTGTCTGACATTAATAGATGCTATTGGTCACACTAAAATTTTCAGCGTTTCAATTAAATAATAAATAGTTTAGCAGATCTAAAGCAAAAAAAAGTTAATAGGTGATTTTACAGTTTTTGATGTACTATTCGAATCTCCAATAAAATGTTGTGGTTACCATTTGAAATTCTCAAGTTGGCCCCTGCCTATCTTACAAAGTCGAAGTGTGTGTTGTTTTTCTGACACGAATAAACTTCCCCCTCCCAGATACTAACTTCTTATTTGAAACGTTTTTTCCTCGGATCACTCGTTTCCAAAATATTTAAGCATTTCAAGATAAAAAATCACCCTGTATAATAACAAATAAAAACTTCCAGTGGACAATATCCACATACGCTAAAACAGAAATGTAGTTCGGACGAAAACGCATCCTAAGGACCACAGACTACACACTATTATATACACACAACCGACCTAATACCTAAGCAAGAAACCGCAGAGGGCTAGGACCAGACATAACGTGATATAAGAAGGGTTATCACTGCAAAAATTGATTTGACCCCTATTACACCGAGATGGGAACATGAAACTTGTCTACCAAAAACTTAATTTAAAGAGTGATCCAATAAGAACGATGGTTTTGAAATGCCATTTATAGTGTCATGATTTGACATTAAAAAAGGCCGTTCGTTAGTAGACAGCAAAAGATTAAGTAAAATGGAGCGCTTCAATAGACAACAACGAATTCTCATTGTAAAAAAATATTATCAAAGTGGTGGAAGTTTTGGGCAAACGGAATGCTCCAACTGCCACTGTGAGAAAATTAAAGAAGACATTCCAGCAAACTGGGTCTGCTAATGAAGTAAAAACAGAAACACGTGTGAGTCCTGGTCGCTCGCCAAAAAATATCTCAGCAGTGCGTGCAAATGTTGAGGAACGCCCAACGACGAATTGATATTCGGCATAGAGCCCAGGAAATTGGTGTTTCCACAACCACTATGCATCGAATTTCAACAAAAGATTTGAAGCTTCATGCGTACAAAGTTGAATTTGCTGAAGAGCTAAAGCCGGAACAGCATGAGCAACAAAGAGCCTTTGTTGATTGGATTTTGGAACAACGACAATTGGACGATGATTTTTCAACAAAAATCATCTTAAGTTACGAGGCCCATTTTCATATAGATGGTTTTGTTAGTCGACAAAATTGTCGCGTTTGGGGTTCCGAAAATCCACGAGTGATCTTTCAGAAACACATGCACCCTAAAAGAGTCACGGTTTGGTGTGCATTGTCGGAGCTGGAAGAATCATCGGACCAGTTTTCTTCGATCATGCAGTTGGTCAAGCATCATTAACCGTGAGTGATGTGTGTTCGTTATCGTGAAATGTTCACTAATTTTTTTGTGACAAAATTGCAAAATATGGATTTCAACAGCATCTGGCTTCAACAGGACGATGCAAGATGCCATACAGCCAGATAAACTGTTGAACTTGGCTTGGGAAGAACCACCAATAGGGCGAAGACCTTTGAGTCGCCCCGAATGAAGTAACGTGACAACATCAAAGCGAACCTAAGGACCATGGGATATAATACGCTTAGCATTAATTGAATATCGACAACAATGGATGCAAATAGTAGAGTTGGCCAAGACCCATTCGAGGTTGACCGTTCTGCTAACGTTACCGCCATGCAGTAAGTAAGTAATGGTGTTTGAGATATGGCCGGTAGCAACTCTTGCTGAAACACCTTGCATATGATGATGTGATAGATCATGAAGGCTTTCACGGCCGGTTAAATCACATTTAGGAATGTTTTCCGGGCTTTGAAGCCGTGGTCTATGGGAATTTCTTCCTGACGTTTCGCCCACAACTGCGGTGGACATTATCAAAGGCGATGAGGCAGTGGGCGAAGTGATCTCCCGTGTTTTCCTACTAAGACTGACTCAGTCTTAGTCTAGTTGTGGACGAAACGTCAGGAAGAAATTCCCATAGACCACGGCTTCAAAGCCCGGAAAACATTTCTAAATGTGATGTGATAGATGTTTTTTCGTGCTTAATTCATGGTTTCATAGCTTATAAAACTTACGGGTTTTTGCGTTTCTAACCATTTTTACGCAGCAGCCGTTGCACGTCATCAGGGGCGGCTGGTCCCGAGGCAGGGCCGTATAATTGAATGGATCTTTGCATCTCCTATCTGTCCAACTGTCACACTCATAACAATATATTTGCCGAGCTAGAAAAAAGTCCGTTAGATTGAAAGTTCCTTTTATTGCTATGTCCACATATATCACAACGTTATTTTCTTTCGGCATTGACAAACAAAAATGCCTATTTTCAGCCAATCAATTGAAAATTAACACTTTGGATGAACGATATTATTGAATGTAATATTAATATTGGCATAAAATTGACGGTTTTAGGTTTGGCAATGCCAATTATATTCATGCAGACAAGGAAAAACTAAAAGTATCTACTAAGAAATAAAGAATTTGTGACTGTATTTTATACTAACCAATTCCCTTTTTGAGTGCTAGCCTTTTACTAATTTTTTAAACTAAAATGTAGAATTTCTCTTAACATAATTTACCAGCCATTTCACCGACTAATACGTTTGTGTTTGTGTTGAATGTTTACAAAATTATAAGATATTTACGTTAACATTTTTTATAATACTTACAGTAAAGTGAGAGCACTGAGTAGGAAAATTACTTTTTTTTAAGTTACTAAGAAGAGCCCGTATGGGAATGTCGAACACCGGATCTTATACGAAGTTGATTAAATGGGAATAAAACTTGGCAATTAAAAAACTTCGCTTTTGTGCAATATAATAAATAAATCAGCTGCACACCACATTACGTGGACGACACTRCCCGGTTCATGCACTATATCGGTAACAAAAATTGTTAAGAAACACTACGAAAAAACCRCAAGAGATAAATAAATTCTTAAATTGAACAACAAATTCAAAARTTTGTTTGGTCGAAGTCAGTGGCGCACCACAAAAAAGTTTGGGAGGTAAAAGGGGGTATGCCTCTAGAAAAATCAACACCCTGTAGATTTTCACAACCAGTCGGCTTACCTACGGGTAACGGGTCGGAACATTAGCCTGCGTTTAAAATTTGAGCAAAATATCTCATAAACTGTGGGAGTTAAAGAGAAAATACCAACATTTTTTTAAACTTTAACACTCTGTATCTCGTCAACCATGGGCCTGAGAAAAAAACTTAAATGGAAACTCGACTTTTGAAGTTCTCGCCCTTGTCATGTGCCCATAAGGTTGTGAATCACCCTGTACATGTTTTAGTTGAAAGTCCGTCGTTCTGAATTTCAGGTTCAGATATTGATATCAGTATCTTCGATATTCATACCGTCTTAAAGTTTTTTCACCATTTAGTCATATTCGCTTACGGTTTCTTATCTCTATACAATTTTCCATATTAGCTCTTCTGATATATTTGATATCGTGATTGATAAATTGCAATAAAAACTTAGTCGCTCCTGCTTACATCACTACTGCATCGTAACAGGAAATTTTGATTTAACATACATCCATGATAAAACACAAGATTTTTCAAACTGCAATATTTCGAAATGTTTAAAATTCTACTCCTAATCTAACAGGTTAGACTGCATTTGTGCCTGATGGCAACAAATGCACAGGGTGTCCAAAAAGTCCGGTCCAAGCAAAACATTATTGAATGTTGGAGTGTAATGGAATTTGAATATTGAAATATTTTAATATGAACTTCATAAAAAAAATTTGTTTTGAAAGTTCAAAGTGCTTAATGTTAAAAAAAACGCATAATTACGATCATCCATTGAAGTTTTGCAGTTTGCATTAACTCGAGATTTGTTGGTTTAATGAGTAAAAAAAACCCAAGCAACAAAATGTATAAGTTTTTTTCATTTGTTGAATGTTGTAAAAGTTTGTTTTCATATTTTTGACATTTTTTCCCTAGTAAAAGAAATTATGTATCAATCAAAAGGAAAAGGCGCTAAAGTTTTCTCCTAAGAAAAAGAACAATTTATCATTTAAGATAGAACTGGAGATAGAACTGGATTGCTCTTAAGGAAGCRCCTTAGAGCTGCACCACTGCAATTCTAGGCCCAACTGCTCTAACGTCAMGAGTCACGAGTAGCGCGAGCCGTTAAGATACCACAGRACTAAAGTAGGCCGGCTCTCGCTCATTCTCACAGCGAAAGGGGCTTCGTGACGTCAGAGCAGTCGGCCTTARCTGCGGTGGTACCGCTTAAAGACGGCAATACAGAATACCAATATCCCGCGTAACAAAAAAGGTTATGGACAATWTGCTAAATAGCCGAAATTTGAGAAGCCCCGATATCTTAGTTAGCGGTRAAGATTTTGCCAAAAATGGTAYGCGTTATTAAACGTTTTKCGAAAATAATAAAATTTGCGTTTTATAAAATACGGAATTCACTAAAACAACAAATRTTCTGTGTTAAAACCATCTAATTTGGATCACCCTGTATATGCCACTTTTATATCCTGAGCTGTAATGGACTTTACGAMAGTCACCAACATTTGCATTTAAATTTCTGGACGTGATTAAAAGTTAGGAATGACTGGCAGATTGTAAGGCGTCTCTATATACAGGGTGTCCAAGATAAGGATGCATTGCATGGGGATCACTGCAACCGTAACAGAGACGAAGTCGGTGGTTAAATTACCGCGCCTTTTCCTTTTTTTTGTATTCCAACGTTTTTGTTTCTTAAAAACTACCATCAACTCTTGTTTTTCATATGGACCGAAACAAAGTAGATAAAGGTATATTTCTTGCGTCAAAATAACATTTTTTTAAAATTATGCCTATCTTACATGTACGTCAAATATCCTGACAAAAGACAGCTAAATACGTCAAATTTCAGACGGTTAACTTTCAAGTTAAGGAGTACGTGACATTTAGAAGCTTACTAGAACCAGAATAAAACCTTTCAATGAAGGAAAAGTTCTACGAAAATAGTAATTTGAATAAAATTAACCTACTAAGACCAGAAGAAAAAACAAAAAATGTATAATAATTGTTCAAAACGGTAAACAATATTTTCTAAACACAGGTACACTCTTCTAACCGTGGAATCTTCAACCCCGGATACTAGAAGAAGTTATGGAATTAATATTGAATTAAATGCATCGGTAGGTAACTGCCTTCAAAAGTTGGTGTTCAGTGTATGTAAACTTGGTTTTAATGTAACCCCAAAGGGATAAGTTGAGTGGGGTCAAGTTTGGCGATCGTGTTGGCCAGGAAACGTCATCATAAGGTCCGATTGATCGTCCTGGAAACTGTTGATACAGATACTCTCGCACTTGTTTGGCATTGTGCTTAGGAGCTCCGTCATGTTGAAACCAGCAATTTCGGACATTTTCTAGTGGCAGAATATCTACGAGTTTTTTTTGATTGATTTTCCAATTAGTTAAGGTAACGTTCTGCAGTTAAAGTGTGGTGGTAAATAAAAGATCCCAATATTCAAAGTTGTCTTCGTTTGTTAAGTTGTTTCCCGGCATAATGAAAAACTCTCGAAAGTTCTGATACTGTATGTATTAAATACTTACTGACATACACATATGTTACTAGGCCTGGTAAAGTTAATCATAAAAATGATCATAATCTTTTTTTAAATGTTAAAATTCCGTCTCTCGGATCTCCAAACGCCTTAATCCGCTTTAATAAAAGAGTTGTCACTCATTAACTCAGAGACGGCAACAACTCAAAAGCGCAACTCAACACAGTGTAACCCCAGGTCTAGTTAGAACTGACGAGGTCAAGAACCTGAACAAATAATTTTGTGTTATACATCGTTGAATTCGCAATTAAAAGGGCTACCTAATCCCTTATGTTCTTTTTTCCTCGCCCAGATCAAAAACGAAAATTGATGATGGTTTTAAAGAAGCGAAACGTCATAATACATTTTCATAGACACCAGCTTGTAGCGCTCAAAAAGGCGCAATGAGGAAGTATTTTTTTTTGGTTTTTGATATGATTTGAAATAACTTCAAAAATGAAATAAAAACAAAAATTTTCAAAATTTTTTCAAAATGTCTCAAAAATTAAAAGAAAAACTTTTTCTTTTGAAAACGCCATGTACATGACCCTCTGGTTGTGCAACGTTTTTCTAATTTAACTGACTTCGTATCTCCTATGGTTTCGGAGATCCCCAGGCAATGCATCCTTATCTTGAACACCCTGTAGATTAGTGTGGTATCCGTTGATTACAAGCCATGATTGTAGCATGTAGAGTGTTGCGAAGCTTGCATTTGGTTGAAATGCAAAATGGTTTCATATGAATTTGATTTAAAAGATTCTAACACCTAGAGTAAATATATATCTAAATGTACAACATTCACACATCAAAGAAATATATAGAAATATGGTGAAATGTGAAATGCAATAACAGCGAACTTACTCTGACATTCCGCTTTACAAACGGTAGTTATAGCTAGCAATATTATCACTGAAAAACAAAGCAAAAAATAAAATTAATGTGAAGATACGCGGTTGTGAACAGGCAAATCAAAAATGATATATCGAAAGACCATGTTGCGTAAGAAAAACGTTTGCTAGAAATTTAAATTGTCTATTAATTTTCTATTTTCCATTATTTTTAAATGTTATATTAATATATTATTTAATTCTAGTATGTGGCTTTTTTACAATTTGCTTTGCTAATCAGAAATATGTACTTAAACGCAGTTTGCTAAACCATTTTTGATTTACCGGTTAAATGGATGGTGTCATATACAGGGTGTTTTTACTTTAGTACATAGAAGTAAATAATAAAGAAAACACCCTGTATAAACATGTCGGGCAAATTTGTACAACGTTTCTAATAAAAATACCACGTTATATTTTTTGTTAATGTTTCTCTATTTGGGAGCGGAGAACGTTCATAAGTAAAATCACCCTGTATGAAGCAAACTAAAAATAAAGATAAAGATGTGATTGAAAGCATCTAGAAAACTAAATGGTGCCACAAAACTTTTTTAACAAAGTCGAAGCTTTTGGTTGAAATATAAAGTAAATCATTGTGGTTTTCGAAATAGGCGTTTTAAAATCAAAAGAATCTTTTTACAGCTCAAATGATGTTCCATATATAAGTATAGTGATCTTAAATAGATTTTTGCTGTAATTTTTTTATTTTATTTAACATTTGAAATAAGTTATATTCAGGTGGTGCTTCAGTAGTATCTAAGCTTCAGTAGTAATTTATAGTAGTTATATTCAGATTGCAACGGTATTTAAAAAATGAATGTTAATAACCGTTCTTATTACCGTCGGTGATTACCGCTGGTTTTATTCATATAGTACTTTAAAATGATTCAGTACAGAAAACGGCTCTAGTAAAAATAATGGACAAATCTGATATTCGATACAAACCTCACTTACAACATCAGATTAGAAAATACGATACAATTAACCAAGCATTCAGAGCTTCAATGTGGTGCTCCCTATGAAGTACATGCAAAATATTTAACAGATTTGAATTTCGCGTATTAGAAAAGCAGCGTAAACTAAATTTTATGTAATTCTAATTCGCAGTTGAAATAATTTAAAGTTAACTCATTTTTTTACTTTTATCTTTAACACCCCCTATAGCTGTTATTCTCAACTTATTGACTACAGGAAATGTGGCTAAATCTACTTGTTTTGGTACCAACTATCTGGGGTAGAGCTTTGTCTATGTGTGGCACGAACACCTTGCATGTTGTAGGAAATTCAAGGTGCCTACTTACTTAGGGTAAAATCGGGATAGACGACGCACCATTTTTTGAAAATTAATTTCATTAAAAATTAATTAGTTAGTATTAAATAAAAACCAAAAACTATTGAAAAATTAAGTTTATAATCATTTCGAAAGTAATTAAAAACCAAGCAATCAAAACAGAAACATACTAACAAAATAAAATAGAAAACTATTACATTTGGCAATCTCACCCCACCATGTGGGTATGATGACGTATTGCAGTAGGGAGAGATTGCTTATGGAAATGCCTTAAGAAAAAAAAATGTTTACTTCGCATTGAAAATTAAGCGATTACCTACATAAATATTACTTAACGCTTTTCCCGCATAACAAGAAATAATTTTCATAAGGACTGCATGTAGTACAATGAAACCATCTTTGGTACATTTAAGGTACTTCATCTAATTTGCATTTTTTTGGCCACCCTCATAAGGCTCTAAACAGCCAATACAATGATTTTCATCGAAACTTTCCTCATCGCTCGAATCGTTGACTGAGAATTTGTCATTATCATCTGACGAAGAAGATTATTCTCTTACCAAACGCCTTTTGACGGCTTGAATAGCGACTGCCCTTGGCATAATTTTTTCCTCAGTTTTATTTACCATTTGGGAATTTTTATTAATGTTCTTGGCTGCAAGTTCTTTTTTTTTCTTTTTTTCTAATTTTCTGCAGTCTGTCTCTTCCTTTTAGTTTTAGTGCTTACTATTTTCGGAATCGGTGAAATAACACTCAGAATTTTAGAAGGAGTCCAGTCTGAACCGACAGATTTATGAACTGAAGTTGAGGAAGGCTTCGCCTGATTAGAATCCGAAGAAGTAGAAGGTTGATTAAGGTCAATGGCTTGTGCTTCGGGTTCCATTTCCAGATTTTCTTGAAAATCTTGTGCTTCAAGTTCTACCTTTGGGTTTTCGCGTACGCGTCATCTGTCCCAATAGGGCGGGATAGATGATGCACTTTATTTATTCTAAAATAACAAAGGATTATCTCACGTACACTCTCATTTTCACGTAAGCACCTTCACAACATAACACAACTTTAAAAACGAATGCCTTTTTTCACGAATTTAATAGTTTATGCAATGGAAAAACTGTTAACCTAGAACGATATTAAAGTTTGTATACCTACCAATTTATAAAATTGGAAAAAACAGTGTTTTTTTCACTTATTTTGATGGAAATTTGACAACAACCGGTCAGTAAAAACAACGCTTTCACGTGACACTCTTTACTGATTTATTAACTAGGTTTAAACCGTAATTTTTGCTGTGCGTCAACTGTCCTGCTGCGTCATGTGTCCCGACTTTACCCTATGCTTCATAGATTACTCTAGAGAATTTGATTGCGTACGATTGCAAATGTATGGATGGTTTTAACTGAAATGGGTGCGCCTTCTCTCTTAATATAACGAATCAAAAATTGATACATCAGCACAGCATACGTGAGAGTAGAGGGAGATCTGACCAATTCATTCAGAGTGGGTAAAGGAGTGAGGCAGATTTGTATACTAAGTTCTTTAAGATGTATGGCGAATGGATCATCAGGAAAGCGGTCCATGACTAGCAGGAAGGAATTACTACTGAGGGCATCAAATCTGTAACTTGCGCTATGCCGATGATACGACTCGAATCGCTGCATCCGAAGAAGAATAGGATCCCTACAAAACGAACAACTTACTTACTTACGAAGGGTAGAAGAAACAAGTGGAGAAACAGTTGACGCTTTCATATCACACACCTCGAGCAAGAGCGGATCCAGCTGGATGACCAAAATATCAAAAGTATGGACAAGCCATCACATATCCCTTAACACCCAAATGAGATTGGTCAGGAACTTGGTGTTTTCAGTCTTTCTATATCGATCAAAATGCTGGATTTTAAAAAGGACGAATAAGCGGAAGATAAATGGCTTCGAAATGTTTTGTTGGCACAGAATACTGAGAGTGTCCTGGACTGGAAACCATGCAATCCATTCTGGACCAACTCAGAGTTAAGAGGAAATTGAGCATTGTGGCAGCGAAGAACACAGGTAAATTGTTCGGTCATGTGGTTAGAAGAAATGGTCTTGAGAGACTCACTTTGGAAGGGACAATCAGTCCCTGGCAAAAGATGAAGGCAGGTCGCCGACAAGATATTCAAGATGGCAGAAGATGGGGAATGGAAAGCCATCACAGAAAACAATACATGAACTCATGATGCTGGAAACCGAGCAAACGACTAAGAAGAGGAACAGTCCATTTTGAGGAGGAGGTTGCAAAAAGAGCAAGTCAAGCTTCCGTTTGGCTTCTTCAACTTCAACCCATTGACTTTCTGTTTTATGAACACATATAGCCCGTTCTAGACGATATGCTTTATGCAATAGTAGAACTAACAACGTATGGTTTAATAAACTGCCGGGCAAACAGGGTTACTTCGGCTTTTAGTCTTTATTGTTGCACTGAACACTCTGCATACCCCTAAAGCACCCTGCGTATTAGAAATATATGAATCCGAGTTTGCATCCATCTGAGATCACTTGACTTATTAGGCAATTAACAATCCCCAACATTACATTGACTTAGAATGTATTGCTGTTTATTGAAACTTTTGTATTAATAATTCAGGGTTAAATCAATCTGCATATTTAACAAAAAACATCAACTAGGTATTCTTATTTTGACCTTAACTTATTTTAGTTTTATTTCATATCGAGAGATATTGTTCCACAAGAAAAACTTCGCTCATCTTTAAACACAATTAACACATGAATATTTTAAAGCACCTTGCGTTTGAAACTCATATTGTACGTTCAACCTTATTATTGACCAAGACTTTGATTGATTAAATATGGATCAATTTGGGTTTCTGATGCAAGTTTCTCTCTCCATTATTGAATAATATGAGAACATTCAGATCAATTTAAAAAAGTTTTGTTTTGCATCTATCTCTAAATTTGATCTAAAGGTATTTTGGACAACGGTCTCGTAAAACATTGTATGAAATGTTGTAGGGCAGCTACAAAATGTTGGAAGTTCAATCATTTCGTGCCCGTCGATCATGATGAATGTAAAAATTGAAGTAAACTTTCTAAGGTCTAGATAAACCACTACTGAAAAAAGTTTTTTGGGTATCTAGCATAAATTGCAAAAAACATGTGGGTTGCTTTAAAATTTGGTTTTTACTCACGCGCACATTCCCATTGCGATTTTCCAAAATGTACAAAATATACTGTAATAAAATATAGGTTGGTTTTTGAGTAAATGGAATAAAAAGAGGTCATGTTTGTCTTGTGTATGTTGTTGATCGTGGTGGTCCTTTATTGCGTGTTTAAAATTGCTGTGATTTTTGTATGTTGAATACAAAAGAAAGGTGGAGCTAGGATTATTCAAATACATTTTTTCGTGTTGTAACTTTCAGCTTTATTTTATTCTCTTATGCGCTCTGCAGCTGTAAGAATAGCTTTTGTCAAATAATTGAACAAAACGCATGGGCTTGAACCATATACTTATACCCTACCCTTACCGTTTCAAATATCCGCCAGAAAAATTTAAATAAATATTTGAATAATTATAAGTAGAATAATTGTGAAAACTAACATACAGGGTGGTTTTTTAGTGAGAGAGAGTCCATTATTTCCGTTGGGGTAGAACTTTCGAAAATTTAGTTTTACTTAAAAGTGCATTGACGCACAAAGTGAGTACAGTGTCTCAGAAAAGCGAGATAAGATCAAAGTGTATTTTTTTAAAATAGAACTACCCATTTTTTATTAGCTCAGGGAATGCAGCTTGAAACGCTGCATATGCACCGTAAATTGTTTTTTTCTTACTTGCGACGTTGGAAGATTATCGGCATTTTAGTAAAATTTGGCTTAAAAATATGGTATCTAAAAATTAATTGTAGAAGCAAAAAAAAGCCGTTAACGATACAAAAAATAGGTCTTTCCAATCACCACAGATCCGTTAAGAATTCTATTGAACCAAAATATCAATASAATGTACAATWYTGTAYAGGGTGTTAACAAAATAGACTTAAATCTAAAACTTTTTAACGCAATATAACTTTTGTTTTTTCAAATGAAAGTACCTGTATATTAATACGTCATTCGATAGACATTTTACAAAGTTACAAATTTTTATTTACACTTTAAGCTGTGAAATCAAGCGTTTTCAATTATAATTTATTTTATTCAAAAATTTCAAAAAGTTGTTACATTTTGTAAGGTGGCTATAGAATTCAATACGTAAGTGTCAAAATTTGATGATACTTGTCATAATCATTGAACAAAAGTGCAATGTTTTATAAAATGCATGGAATTTCATAGCAAAAAAATTCAATAAAACTGCATACGTCTATAAAAATAAATGTTTAATATGATTGCCGTTAACATTTAAGCAACTATTAATACGGTTTTCAAATGAATCGCCAACGGAGTACAAAACAATATTATTAATGTTTCGAAAAACAGTTGTGATTCGGTCATTCATGTCATCTTTTGTAGTTATTTTATACTTCTATTATTCAGGGTGTCCCGTAAGCTCATGATAAAAAGAAGACGATCTGACCAAACTTTTATTAACAAAAAATGTCGGGCTCCTCTGCTATTGATGGTGAAAGTTCTTCAAAAAATGTATCTTTTTCGAAAAATCGGGAGAATAGTACGATGTATTTCAGTGAAACTCGCTGTAAATTTGTTCTTATGTAAAACTCATATTTTGATGAAACAATCGAGTTCAGCCCTTTTGGACAAGTGGTGAATTCTTGAGTGTCGTGGTACAAAAACTACCAGAACTTTTTAGTTGGAGGATGCAATCAACTCATTTTTTTTAGGTTGATGCACTAATCATTTATTCACAATTTTGTACTCTTTATAAAATCTTGTAGCATTCATAGTTTTTGCGAAAAAAAATATTGAATGAATATTATACAAATTTGAACATCAATTACTTCTTGTCATTTGACTGGACTTAATCACTTGCGGTGCTTTAATTGTTTAGACTTTGGTGCAATTATTTGAAGATAATTGCATGAATTGTATAGAAAATTCACACGAATCCGCGCGAAAAATGGTTGTCGTTATGGAAGGTAAACTTTTTAATGAGTTCTAAATCTCCGCTAATACGAGATACTTTTTGAAATTTAAAACATGTTTTTATGCACATCTTCGAGTAATTATCTCAGTTTTCTCTTTTTTGTACGGCTAATTACTTCATTAAACACAACCTTCTGTTTTCAAGTTTAGCAGAATAAAGTACATATGATATCAGAATATGTGTACTGAATGACTGTAAT